CCAGGGAATGAGGATGCTTTGCAGAGTACAGACCCCTGGCTCTGCTATACCGGCAACTCCTGCACTTTCCAGCAAATGTTCTCGAGGCATGGCAAGCACATGGGGCACATGCACCCCTGGGCATGCCCAGTGCCCCATACCATCCCCTCAGTGCCCTTCTCCAACACAGGAAAGCCGTGAGTTTGCTCTTCATTAGAGATGCTCTCAAAGCTTTCAATTCATCTCCTGGGGGTAGATGGTAGACCAGAAGGCCTGCCTCTTTAAAGGTGGGCATGCTCATGTGACTTGTTTTCAGTCTTTGTGAGCTGCATCACTGCTAGGCAAAAGCTGGCATGCTCTCCTCTTTCCAAGTGTGGCCCGTCAACCACAGGACAGGCACCGCTGGAGGTTGATGGATACACAGCATCTCCAGCCCTCCCAATCTAGAGTTCCTCTTTAATCAGTTCCCCCAGAAGATCCACATACATATTTAACTTTATGAAGTCCTGCCCCAGGAATAGAGCATTATTTGCCATATTCTTTTCTAGCAGTAGCAGATATTCCCGGTAGAGCTTCTTTTAGCCTAAGCCCCTCACTTGACCTGAGACAACTAGGGTTAAACCATGAGAAGAATAAACCTGTGGTCAAAGCTGCTAAAACTTGAGAATTGTTAAGATAGCATAACCTAGTCCATCCTAACGCAATTGATCCTGGAGTTAATCTCCCCATGTCTCAGTTTCCTTGATAGAAAGTACAGGTAACAGTTCTTACTCCTAGGGTAGTTATGAGGATTAAGGAGGTACACATGAGTGAGGCCTGGCACATGTAAGTTCTCAGTAAATAGTAGGTCCCATCACTGACCTCCTTTTCTGCAGCTCAGACCTTGCCTGGTGATGTGGAATCCCAGCCTCCTCACCCCAGTGAATGGGCAGTCGGAGCTCTGTCCCTATCCACACTCCACCCAAGCCACACATCAAACAAGAAGGCCTGTCATCCTCCAATACAAACAAGGGTGTTTCCTGCAGCAAGGCCCTAGCACCCCTGGCCTGTGCCTACATACTGCCCCTTTCCACTGCTCTCACCTGCATATGCTGCCTCTTCCCTCACCAACCTTCTCAAACCCACTTCCCTATCATGCAATTTAGAATTTACACTTGGTATCTGTCTATCCTATATATTAAAGCTTTGTCCTGAACTCAGTGCTAGAGGTAAAAAAGTTAAATGCCTAATAAGTTTTCTTTCCGTCTTTTCCCCTAAACCCAGTCTACATGATTCAAGCATCGAATGTGATCAAACCTGCTACAGAGAAAACTGAGGAAAGCACAGTGAGAAAAATGGGATGGACGTTTCTGTTTATGCTCTGGTTCTTAAAGGAGTCCAGTATACTTCTCACTGTAACTGTAATGACAAGTACTTGTAGATACTTTTAACAAAATGTAGCATTTATTCTAAAACAAAATAAAATGGCAAGTTCCTTTTTCTCCATGCTCTTAAGCTACATAAATATCTCCAGCCAGAATATTTTACTGTCTTGAATCTCTCTTCCAGTTATAAACCAACTTTTAAAATATCGTGGTACTGCAGCCAAACTGCACACTGAATTACATTATGCAGTTGCAAAGCCACAGAACTTGAAAGAGCAGCTTTGAGACTCAAGCTGTTTCCCCTTCTTTAGGCCAGAGGGCAGCAAAAGTTTTCTTATGGGCCACATACGATGCATTAGGAGCTGCATGGCTGTTGCTATAGCTGTCACTGTAGCCCCAGCAGCCACAGGCAATACAGAAACAAGCAGGCTCCACTGTGACTCTGTATAATTTTATTCATGGACACTGAAGTTTTATTTCCATCTAGGGTTCTGGGTCACTAAGCATGATTTCTTCCACCTATTTAGAAATGTAAAGCATGTTTAAGTCATAAGTGGGATAAAAAGAGGGATTAGGCTGGGTCTGACCCACTGGCCACCCTTTGCAGAGTCCTGCTCTAGGTTCTCTGGTTCATGCTTTAACTTGTGGGGAAAAGTTCTGTGACACTTGTGGAAACTTAAAGAAGACTTAACTTGGGAGAGAGAGATTGGGCTCAACCCCAAACAAAGGAACAAGCGGGGATCCATAACTAACAAGCAGGATGAGTGGCCAGCCAATGGAAAGGGGAGAGACATCCAAAGTGGGCGAGCACTGGCTCTGTCAACTGAGGGCACTTGCTGAAGGCAGCAGGCCAAGGGCCAACACCTCAGAGGTGGTGCGACACAGTGCCCATACTGATGATGCAGATAGCAGGAGTCCTGGTAAAGCAGGCTGTGCAGGCCCCAGAAGGAGCAGGCTGGGATTGAGGCCTGAGCCAGACTGAAGTGGGGTTGGGCAGAGAGCCTCCTCAAACTACACCCAACACAGCCTCCTGACTAGTCAAGGATACATGGCATTTAGGCTAGTAAAATCCACATCAAAATCAGGTGAGAATTACTCACATGAGCCTGCTTTTGTTTGTTCAACTTGAATAACCACAGGATCCTAAAGATGTCAAATGGTCACTGCAACTTATGTCAGTATTATCTATTAAAAATAACGTCGCCATCACCCCTTTCCTCACTACACATAATTAAATTTATGCAGTAAGGGAATAGCTGGCAGTTGTCTTCAATATGAAGTCAGTGCAGTCTCAATCCTTTGCCACAGGGCAGGGAAACCAGCTGCTAAAGCCTCTTTTCCCTGAGGCTCCTCAAGGCCAGGGCATGTGGAATGACCAGGAAGGACAAGCATTCGCTTCACCAGGGATTTTAAACCGGAAATCTACAAAAAAAAAAAAAAAAGACAACAAACAAACAAAAAACTGACTTTTTTTTTAAAGAGGCTTGGCTTTTCTTATTTTTCCTAATACTCAAGTAGCACTGCTTAAAACATTTTAAGTCTAGGTGTCTCCATGGAAACTCAAGAAAACTTGTATGTTATGGTCACAAGTTCTATATCCTATTGGATCTCCAGAGACCATCTGTGATCTCAGACATATCTTTGATCTATTTTTCTGAAATCTTGTTAGCTATAAGATTTATAATGATTGTTTTGCTGAGAAGAACAAAATTTATTCTAGTTTTTATTAAGAACAGTGCTCCAAAATGTTGTTAGAAACTAAATTTTGTGAATTTTAGCAGAGTAAAAGGGAGAAAATGACTATTAAATTTATAACAATAATTTTCCTTCCTACCTTTCCAGCATCAAATGCATTTTAAGAAAAGTAACAGAAATGAACAGTTCCTCTCTCCAGATTATTACAATGGAGAAAAACAAAACAAATTATAAAGTGAATCAACCTGACATACTGGCCAGGTGGCCAAAATTAACATCACCTATGCAGTTAAGATGGCCTTTGTGTACCTCCAGATCCGACACTCTGAGGGGAGCATAGAGTCAGCTCACATGCACAGCCTGAATGTAACAAAGTAGTGGGCACAAAAAAAGCAGTGGTGGCAGCTGAGGCATAATGACTGCTACTAAGAATGTCAGCATGGTACCAGGCACAGTACTTCAGGGACAGAGCACATGATTAGTATGGCTGAGGCCCTGGGTTCAATCTCCAGCACTGCAAAACAAAGACAAAATAAGATAATAAAAGACAATGTTAAGGCTTCGGAAGTTTTGATTAAAAGCTTTAAAAAAGAAGTAGCTAAAGATACAAGGTTAATTCAGTGCCACACCTACCCATAGGATGAATCTGACACTGCAGGGAGTTGAAGGAAATTCCCTAAAGGGCATACTTGGAACAAGTGACAAAACTGGAATAGTGATGAGAGTTTGAGGCCAGCCTGGCTCTGAAGTGAGTTCTAGGCCAGCCTGAGTGACAGTGAGACCCTATTTTGAAATGACAAAAAAAAAAAAAAAAAAAAAAGTAAGATATACCAATGTAAGATTTACTGAAATCATTAACTATACAGTGTTATATAAGAGACTACCATACGCTTATCAAATATCAAAGTTCTTCAGGGTAAAGGGCCATGATGTATGTAACTATTCAAGAGAAAAATGAACAGATCTTGCCTACATTGGAGTTTGTGGCTATTTTCTTTTTGTAGTATTTCAGATACAACACAGTCTTGTGCCAAGCAACAAAGCAGAGCTATCTTAACATGACCCTGTACCAGCACCTGAAGCCTGCCTGTGTAGCATGCCACCCATTCTCAGCAAGGTTTGTTGCAAAACCCAGCAAATACCAGCTAGCTGGCAGCTTAGATGTAATCATTTCTCCCTAATTTCTCTTAACAGGGCAGTGAGTCTAAAACTTTTTGTATCCCACAACTTTTAGAACTGTCTCATGCACAAAGCAAGATGCTTAGCTGGTTTCTTAGAGAAGCACTACCAGTTATCAGTCGACTGACAGCAAGATTTAGAGCTGGGACATCTTAATATTTTAAGCTGGAGAATGCTGAAGCTAGATCAGCTCAATATACACAATTCCTGTGAAAACTGTTGCCTAAATTCTGCAGACTTAATTTCTGATGCCCACAATTCTATACCTGTCCGAAATTTTACTATAGACTTTTCTGTAAGGTAGACACCAGAGAAAATATTTAAAATGTGGTAAACTGAGATTAAACTGTGCATCCAAGCTTAGGGATCAGGAAACACTCCTTACTATTCTCCCAAACACAGCAAAGACAAGGCATGTGTATACTGCACGGTCTTTTCTGTCCTTCCGTATTTCTTACTTTATTTTGATTCTTTCAGTAGTGATTGCTTCTGGGATAAAATGCTCAGATACAACTTTTGTCTGTGTTTTTATCTTTTTTTCATCTTTTTTAAAATCTCTTTTTTTGCTTTTCCCTACATTTATTTGGCATGTTTACAAAGAAACTGCAGGCACACGATGCTCAGCAAGAGGTACTGAGTATACTCTCCAGAGGACCAAGTTGTTTGCCCTCCAACAAATCCCCAAGAAAGTGCTGTGAAGGCAACAAATGCAAAGAGGGAGCTTGCAGAACAGCGTAAGGATCCAGAGTGAATTATAGCCAACTGCAAGACAGAGCAAGCTAGTCAAGGCACTAAAATTTAATGAGAAGACAATTTTTAAAATAGGAAAAACTACAGAGAAGGTGCAGGCAACATTATTATAGATTTAAAATCATGCATATTGTTCTCCATAAAACTTTGCAAATGCGGTTAAAATGCACGCTTACAAAAGCTAGCAATTATAAATCCTCTGAACCATGTAACTGTGATTAGCTGCTACTCTCAGCGATATAAAAATACTTCTACCACAATTACATTCCAGCCCGTAATGTAATTCAAAACAAACAAGTCAGAGACATCGCTCAAATGGCAGAATCAACAAATACAGATGCTTTGCATCAAGGAAACAAATCCACTGGAGAGGCAAGCGAGAGGACTCTGCTCGGCAGCCAGGGCCTGGCCCTGTGCTTCTGGTGGAACAGCGAGGCCCCCTTCTGGGCAGAGGCGCACAGCACAGCTCTGCAGCAGCCCTCTGCACCCGTGACCCCTCGCTTCAATCCACACCACAATCAGAAACCCTGGCTGTAGATACTTTTTCCTGTGTTGCAAATAGTAAATTTTAGATATTAAAGATTATGATCTGTATTTTTAAGCAGCTATTTAGGTCAAACTGATCATACTATTGTACCAAGGAGCACTCCTACTACCAAGTGGCACCCCCATCTCCTTCAACCCAGGCCCCGTTTCTTTTGCTGTAACTCTTAGCACTTTCTAGCAAAGTGCATAAGTCAGCTACACTCTTCATCTGTCCTCTGTGTCTGGGAGACAAGCTTTATGAGGACCTGCAGGATTCTTTATTTTGTTCCAGGGTACAAAGGGCCCCTCACACAAAATAATTGGTCAATAATGAGGAATTTTTCCATTTATGCTTTTATCTTTTAAAGACTGTTCCTCTTCAAAGAAGACATAAATAGGACTTTATTATAGCAATATGCTACAAATAAAAAATGACTCAAAAGCACTTGCTTTAGAAGTATTCATTTTCTTAAATGCTTTATAAAAGCAAAAGATCAGCGCTAAGGACCACATGATCACGGTTGTGTGCACACAACTCATAAAACCTAGAAAGAAGCCAGGTCCCCAGTGCCCCGCGGGAACATGGGGCTGTAAACACTGAGGCTCCGTGCTGAGGGCCCACCCTGGAGAAAGCATCTGCACTCTGCCCAGGCTCAGGAAGGGCATGGATCTGGACATGTCCCCTGGGGAGCCAGCACTGTCCTGGCGGGGCACAGCTGCGGCTGAAGGGCATGCACTGTTTCTAATTTCTGAAGCCTCAAGCCTTAATTTTTCCCCTTCTGAAAATGTGCTCTCAGCTTGGGGAAAAGCTAATAGTTGTTTACAATTGTCAGACTTTTAAGAAGTGCTAATTTGTCCCCTTAACATAGCAAATGATGAGAGACACCATTTACCCACAGAGCGACAACATATAAACACATGATTCATCGATGTCAACAGCCTGCAGTCCAGGAACACTGTCCAGGTCACTGAGACACAGGTCTTTCATCAGACAAAGTTCAGGGTTTCTGACATTCCTTTTTCCGAACTTTCGATTTTGGTGCTGTGGCAAGAATAAAAAAAGAAGCACTTAAGATGCAGGCTCACACCAGCCTCTCCCCGTACTGGCAAGTACTAAGGGAGGCCCACTACTTTTGTCAGGGGAGCACTGACCATTTGGATTCTCCTGTTTGTAGAAGGTCTTCAACAGCTCCACGGCTTCCTCGGCCCGGTATCCAGGAATGCACTGATGAAAAGAGAAAGGAGAGAGTAAGTGCAGGCCTACGAAAATGTGTAGAGTCCTACAGATAGCGATGCACACAGAATTACGTAAACAGGTTTCGGATCATGTTCAATGCTTTGGGGGTATCAGTGTGGATAACACACATTTCCAAAGAGCAGACTTTCAGCCTCAGGGAAACATCACTCTCAATCAAATATACTACTGAAGCAACAGGCTATGCTACCTCGGGCCAGGCCCATAAACTCACTGTACCTTGTATGCACAACGTAGCACTTCCCTCAGGGAGATGTGGTAAGGCCTAAGTGAAATAATACCAATCACAAACCTGGCACATCATAGGTGCTAATAAACATTACCTATTTTTATCAGCTGGTATTTACTGGTGGACCATCAAAGTGTTTGACGCATCAAAGCAGGGGTTGGCAACCATATTTGATAGAGCAAATCCAGTCTGCTGCTAGCAGGGGTGAGCTAAGAGTAGCTTTTCTACTTTAAAGGAGTTTTAAAAAAAAAAAGGCTGTAAAACACTGATAAAGGTGGCTCACAAAGGTGAAAATACTCACTAGCCCTTTACAAAGCTTGTCCACCTTTGCTATGGAGAACTTTTTAAAGTGTCTTATTTGTTCAGTCTCTGAAATCCAAGTGAAAGAATAAGCAATGATGATATCAGGAAGGAATGATATTACAAGAAATATTACATGAAGAAGATGAAAGCTGGACTTGGAGAACATTTACAGAGGCTGAGCAGTGCTTCGGGGAAGGAGAAGCAGAGGCGTGTGTGGGAAACAGGCTGACGGGTGGCAGGGTGGAGGATGAGTACTAAGTGAACACGAGGAAAGAATTAGAGACAAGGTCTGGAACTGATACAACACACCCTTCTGAAGAGTGGGAAAGGATGTACTCATCCACAGTGCCAGGCACAAGGGTGAAAGGGGCCAGCCAACTCCCAGAGACTGGAGGACCAGGCCCTCCAGGGCATCTGTCACTTGCCTGCTTGTGCCTGGGCCACACGAAGCCTTCAAGAGGTAACAACAACCTTCCTTCCACCCTGCCTCTCGCAAGACTCCACTCTTGTTCTCCTTTCCTCCTCCACCCCATCTTCGCTGACCCATTGTCCAAGACTCATAGTGATCCTCCTGTCTCAGCCTCCTCAGTACTGGCATCACAGGTGTGCGCTACCATGCCCAGTTTTGGTAGCTGGCACAGTGCACCTGGGACTCCAGGGCCAGCACAGCATGTGGTACCGAGGATCAAATTTGAGTCTTACACTTGCCAGGCAGGCGCTTAGGCTGCTGAGCTATCTCCCTAGCTCTAGGTCTTTTTCATATGGGAAGTCTTGTATGGACTCAGCAATTCATTTGTGAAGAGTTATGTAAACAAAGTTTGAGCTATTCATATAAGTTACTGGGAAAATCAAATCACTTTGCAGATGTATTCCACGATCAAGCTAATTGCATCATTAACTACCATTCCACTGTGATTTCTGTCTGATGTGATGTTAAAGGCATCTATTCTGAAATGGCATTTGTTAGGCAAGCCAGTATTCAGAGAAAATTCAAGACAGAATATTTTATAAAATGTGTTCTCAGTGGGATGAGCCAAATTTAGCCTTTCATAGGTTCTTATCATAGTCTATGAATAGCTGGGTCATAAGGTCCAGCGTTTGTTAAATTCTTTTCTTTATAGTTATCATACTTTTGGGTTAACCTTCCTTTTCAGAGCGAAAAACTGAACTAGTGTAGAAAAGCTGCACAGCCTAAATCAAACTTTGACATAGATTCCCAGTGCTTGCACGCTTAATTATAAAAGCTTTGAAGATGTACAAGTGCAAAAGTAATGTGGAATTTCTAAGAGATGGGGGGACATTTCTACATTCAAAGGGCAGGGAAAAAATTACATCAGAACAGTTGCTCATTACTAATAAGGTATGTGGTAATCTAGTGAAATTATTGGATTTGTACACAAATACTGTGCTCGCTGTAAGTAGCACCTACTGTCACTGACATGGGCTAAGTTTCACCAAGTTTAGGATAACAAAGAATGACAGAAAGCAATGCTGAAGACTATTAGAAGGCAGGGAGGCAGGGACTCTCTTTCAAGAGACATCTGGTAACTGAAGAGAAGAAACACTCATCTAGAAACACTTACCTGGTGTCCTCCACTAAGCCATAGAGAAACTCAATCTGGAGTGCTGGGGTCCTGTCCCAATTCTGTCATAGCTTCTTAGAATACTGATTCCACACTATTCATAAGCCCACAGTGACATGTTACCAGAAAGGAAAAGTGTCAGCATATCATATTACCTGAAATGGTCTCCCAGTATTCGGTAAGTCAGCAGAAGCAATGTCTAGAACAGAGCCGCAGCCACCAAATCGCTCATTCTGACAGCCATAGATAACCAATGGGATTTATGAGACAGAATTAAGGTCCTGTAGGATTCACAGTATTGTGGCAAAACAGGTGGGTTGATACAGGTATCCTGGAGAGAAAGCTCAGGCCACACTTCAAAACAAAATTTACGGTTAGTCTTCAAAATCATACAGTCCAGGGCTGGAGAGATGGCTCAGTGGTCTAAAGCACCTACTTGAAACAAGCTTGGCAAAGCACAGGGACCGCGGTTCGATCCTCCAG